TCCCAACACAGGACAGTCATGTCCCATTATCCCAACACAGGATGGCCATATCCCGTTATCCGAACTCAGGATGGGCCATATCCTGTTATCCAAACACGGGACATCCGTGTCCCATTATCCCAACAGAGGATGGGCCACATCCTGTTATCCCAATGCAGGACAGTCATCTCCCGTTATCCCAACAGATGATGGCCATATCCCATTATCCCAACTCAGGATGGCCATATCCCGTTATCCCAACACGGGATGGGTCATATCCCGTTATCCCAATGCAGGACAGTCATATCCCATTATCCCAACACAGGATGGCCGTATCCCATTCTCCCACCACAGGACATCCATGTCCCATTATCCCAACAGATGATGGCCATATCCCATTCTCCCGCAGCAGGACATCCGTGTCCCGTTATCCCAACACAGGATGAGCCATATCCCATTCTCCCACCACAGGACATACGTGTCCCATTATCCCAACAGAGGATGGGCCATATCCCATTCTCCCACAGCAGGACATCCGTGTCCCGTTATCCCAACAGAGGATGGGCCATATCCCATTCTCCCACCATGGGACATCTGTGTCCCATTATCCCAACAGAGGATGGGCCACATCCTGTTATCCCAACAGAGGATGGGCCATATCCCGTTCTCCCACAGCAGGACATCTGTGTCCCGTTCCAGGCCTCTCCTCCTCGTTGAGCCTGAGGGTGAGATCCCTCCCTGCGGCACCCACGGACAGAGCTCAGCCCTCGGGGCCGCCGAGGTCGATCCTGGGGGATCTCTCGGCACGAACCCGAGTAACAAACTGACACTAAAACCCCCCCCCAAAAAGACCGGGACCACTCAAGTGCAACTCCGTCTACCCCGCCAGGGTCCGCAGGCGCTTCCACATCTCCTCTTGAGCACCGGTATCAAAGGCTCCGGCACAGCTCCGGGCACCTGACCTTGGGCCAGCGCAGGAGGAGGGAGAGCTCCGGAGCCAGCCCAGCACGGTCTCCGTCTCATTCCCAGGTGCAAAACCAGGCTGAAAAGGGGTGGAGGAAAATCTGAGGATTGCAGGTAATGCCAAGAGCCGGCCCTTCGCCATGACCGTGCCGGGCCGGCCGGAGGCCGGAGCCGCAGGGCCATCCCGACCCCAGGCGGGGGCCGCAGCCGTAGATGACGATCCTTGACCGTCGGCCTCACGATTCCTCCTCGGAGGGATGGCGGGACAGTCTCCACCACGAGTGGGCTCCTCCACTGCCCCGGTAGATTCCGGACGTTGGGATGGCGGGGTCGGAGCCCCGGTAGCTCCGCTCCGCAGGGCGTCCGGAGACTCGGAACGTTGAGGTTTCTCCTCCACCTGCATGGATCTTCTCGCATGGAGCAGCCAGCTGGGCTGACCCTGGATCGAGGCCGATCCCGGGGCGGGGTGGGGGAACCCGGAGAGCTTCTGTCCCTCCCGCTTTCCGGAAAAAAAAATGGCACATCCGACCCCGCGCCGCCCTCGCCGCGGTGCAGCGGGGTCCAGGCCAGGCTGCGGTGAGGGGAGAGATCCCAAAGCTGGGAATTTTGGGAGCTTTGGGGAGTTTGTCCTCCGCTTGCAGCCGGCGGGTGCGCCGGGGCGGCTCCGCCCCGAGAGGGCAGCGATCCCACCTCGGCCCCTCCGAGCGCTCCCGGAACGCCGGCGGATCCCCCGGGAGCGAGGGGAGCGGTGCCGGGAGCCGCCGCCGAAGGTAACCGGGGTCAAAACCCGGCCTTAAAACCACCAAAAATCCCGAATTCCGGAGGGGCCCGGTGTCCCTGGAGTCCTCAGATTCCCCAAAAAAAAAAAAGGTGACTCAAAGCCTGGCAGCGTCGCCGCCCTTCCCGGCGCGGGAAGGGGATCCCGGCGCCTCGGAGCCGGAGGGGTGAGGAAATTCCTTTGGACTTTGGTTAAACCCAAATTCCTGCCGGGACGAGGCGCTGCCCCGGAGCCCGCTGGGCCCGTCCCGGACCTGGGCTCACCGAGCCAGTCCAGGCCTGGGATCGCCTTTCCCGGGGGTCGTTCCCCGGCCGCGAATCCTTCGGGATTGTCCCCGGCGGATCTTTGTTTCCCACCTCTCTTAAGACTCATCCGGCGCCAAACCGATCGTTCGTTCGGTGGCCGAAACGAGCCCGTCCCGCGTTTTCCCGGCGGAGTTTCCCGGTCCCCTCGGGCGGCTCCGTGACTTCTCCGCCTCTCTCCCGTGTTTTTCCCCGCAGGGGGAAGATCCGTTCACGGACGAAATCGCGGATCAGGACGTGGACGAGGCTCTGGAAGGCGGAGACGGCGCCGAGCGGAGACCGAGCGAGGCCACGGCCGCCCCGGACGGGGAAGGAGCCGCCGGGGGAACCGCGGAAGGGGGAGAAGCTTCCCAGGAGTTTTCCAAACCCGAGGAATTCCTTAAAACCCTGGGAGAGCAGGACCAGCCCCCCAAGCCGCTGCTGATGCCGCCGTTCCTGCAGGACGACGAGCTGGAAGCCGAGGAGGAGGCGGCGGCGCCTTCGGAAGCCGCGGAAGAGCCGCCGGAGGGTGCCCAAAACCCCCCGGAATCGGGGCTTTCCCCCCAAAATCAAACTGAGGGCCGGGCAGGGAAGGAGGGGGAGGAAGAGGAGGAAAAGGGGAATAAAGCAGCGGCCGGAGGCAGCGAGGAAGAGGAGGAGGAGGAGGAGGAGGAAGAGGCTCCGGCAGCCGCGGAGCCGCAGCCGGAAGAACTGTGAATATTCCAGCCAAGGTGATGGTTTGATCCGTGGTTTGATCCCTGGTTTTTTAATTCTTTTATTGGTTTTTGGGTTTTTTTTTTTAATTAATCTCCCAGCAGAAATTTTGGGTCTAATTAAGGGG